CCCAAAGGGGTCACAACCCACAGGTTGAGAACTGCTGGCCTAGTGGGTTATGCATTGGGCTGCTAATTGCAAGGTCAGCAGTTCACACCCACCAAGGATCTGCGGAGAATGAAGAGGTTTTCAGTTCCCATAGAATAACAGCCTCTGAAAACCCACAGGGGCAGTTGTACTCTACCCTGTAGCCTTGCAATGAGTCAGAATTGACTAGATGGCAGAGAGTCAGTGAACGGATACAGCAGCTAAGCCTCTCCTGCAGTGCTTGTGAGGATTAAATAACCAATTAACACGATCTGCATGAGGCCTGGGGAATAGAGTTCTCTTTTGGGGAATCAAAGGGAAAAAACAGATTTGATAGAGTATTTCTCTCACAAGAGCCCTGGTGGTGCAGTGGTTAAGCGCTCAGCTCCTAACTGAAAGGTCAATAGTTCAAATCCACCAGCTGCTCTGTGGGAAGAAAGATGTGTCAGTCTGCTTCCATCAAGATGACAGCCTTGAAAACCCAGAGCAGTTCACTCCATCCCATAGGGTCGCTGTAAGTCAGAATCACATACTAGTTAAGCACTGGAAAATGTGGCTGTGGATCAAGCAGAAATGACTGAAACTCTTGTTTGACCCTGGCATCAACCAGCTAGTCCAGCATCGGGGCACACCCCCACCCCAGAACCTTTGTGCAGACGCTGCACTGGCATTCATCAGGTACTGCTACTGTCTCTCTCCCCTACGAGACCTTGAACAGCTAGTTAGGGTGACAGCAAATTAAGAAACTCCCTTCTTGGAAAGTCAGCCACCACTTGAAGTTCTCGGAATTCCCACTGCAGAGTGAGTGGGGTGTTGGGTGGGAGAACTCAGAAACGGCTGAATGTTTTCTTTAAAAAACAACAGACATGATTTTATTTATTCCACAACCATGGAAAACATGTTATTCTACTCAACACTGTGGATGCTGAGAAAACTGGGTGTTGATACACATTAGCCTGTATTTAGAACTCAGGAAACTGATGTCATGATGCATCTTGACTTGTCTCAGTTGTGGTAGAAATGATATTTACTTAATTATGATAAAAGGAACAGAACTTCAGCAGAAAACATGACTTGATCAGACTTGTTTTGCTGCATACAAGGGAGCCTGCTAGGGAACTGGTCTCCACTGTCAGGATTTTTTATAAAAAAAGGACCCAGCCTTCGCCATCTCTTCTCTGGACTGGACTGTCCCCTGCCAGATCCCACCTCACCCAGATTTGGGCAGCTGTTTCTACCATGGACTTCTCCTTCTCCTTCTCCTCCTCTTCCTCCTCCTCCTCCTCCTCCTC